CCCCTCCCTCCTCCTCTCTCTCTCTCTCTCTCTCTCTCTCTCTCTCTCTCTCTCTTTCTCTCGCTTCCACCTCCTTTCCGCGTCTCATTCTCATTACGAAGTTCCCGGTCATCAAATTTTATTAGCCCCCACTTCAGAGCCGGCTCCCGCCTTACTTCTAACTCAATATCGTAGATTCGTAGTCTCGGTTTAACTACCCTCCCACCCTCTCGGCGCAACGCACACGGAGGCACACCTACACACGTCGGCATAGCAGTCTTCCGTCTCTCTCTCTCTCTCTTAATCTTTCTGCCCCCTTTTCTTCCCTTACACTCTTCAACACGCGCGCTTTTCTCACTCGCCTTCGAATGCAAGCGCAGCGAGCGACTTTGAAAGCGGCAATAATTCCGTGCTCTACGGCCAAGAACTAATTTCCACCGGGTCTGACAGTGGGTATTGCCGAGGTAGGGGGTCGGTAGGGAGCCAAGAAGGAGAAGACGAAGGGTGGTCTCACCTTCGAGGCTCTCCTTCCGACTTTCCTTCGTTCCTCACGGACGGTTCGTTTTCTCGTGCGCCCTTTTATCGCCCGACAATAGTTCGCCGGGGCCATCTCGGCCCTACGTGGTCAAGGGTCGTAGCCAATAAACTTTGCCAGCGGGCTGCTAACTTACGTGTCGGTCGAATCCGAGAAAGATGGTAAAGACGGCCGAGAAAGAGAGAAAGCAAGATCGGCGGAGGCCTTTCTGATGGCGCGAGGTTTCCGTTTCGCGTCCTTTAATTGCGACAGCCAGAATTGAAGCTAACGACTTTCTTTCGGTAGCATTTAAAAGCTCCAGCGACGCTGCTGATGTGACAGGACGTTTACGGACGTGATTGCCTCTACGTTTAGTACGTTTAAAAGACTGACTATTGACCCTGACTGACGATCGCCCAGAAGAGAGTCATCGAAAAACGAACGAGGAATAGAATTTTAGTGATCACGGTGAAATTAATTGTCAGGAAATTCGAAATAATAAGGAAATAATAATTTTAGGTTTTACATAATATCACAGGTTACAAAATGCGTAATATTTTAAATAGCAATCTCCGATATATTTTATAATGTTACCTTTATAATGTTACCTTTTTCGTTGTGAAACACATTTTCTTCATTAACGAGAAATAATTTGTTCGGCGATGCAAAATAGCTACTTTTAAAGAGGCTTTCCAGATATAATTTATACCAGTTTCAAAAGAGAAGTAAATCCAACTCAACCTTGGCGGCCGATGAAAATTAAGCTCATCAGAGTTGCAAAGAAGTTAAACTATCGCGAGGTCCGAGTAATGATTGTAGTAATTGGCGAGATAGTAATCTGAAGTTCGTTATCGCCGTGCATTACATTCGGTAGACGGGACCATTGCGGGTAATAAAAGTTACCGAAAGCTACCAAGATATAAAATTAAATCCGCGGCGAGGAGATAAAAGCGAGAACCGGCGCTTTCCGAAAGAGGTCGGGACTTTCCGCTCTATATCGCTCAACAACCTGCTCGACTTGTGGGCACAAATTCTAATTAACGATTCTACATGAATAGAAAATATCATCTTCATTTTCAAAATTCCATCTCGCGGTCTCTACATTGGAAACGCGTACGGCTTCTCTTAATTACGTACCGTTGTACAAGCTCAATATACGAATGGAGCGGATCTGGTTAAAGGGATCGGGGTATCGACAAATTGAATGATAAAGACGACACACAGAAATTAATGACGTTTTAGTTACGGATCGCGCGACATACTCGGCAATCGCGGAAAAGCCACCTAATCCTCTTACATCTTTGCGGACTTGCGTCGGACGCACGTTGACCGACTCTTTGAAAGGTTCGCCCTATAAGCTCTTAAACCCATCTCGGGCGCAGCAATTCCAGACCAATTTCGAGAAAATTCAATCGTGAAATATACAGCAGCGGCCAGCGCTGCGAGGATCGCTGCGGGTCGACGGAAACAATAAGAATGTGAGACTCAAATCCCTCATTTCGTACCGCGTCGTATAAAACAAATTAAAAATCGAATCGGTTATCTCGATTTGTCAATAAGCTTAAGAGCTCAATATAATAATATTTAAGCATGGTTATAATTATTAATCGTAATAATCACGCGCGTTTCAAGCAAACTCAGGATTGTTGTGTATCACGAAATAAATAGAATTACATTAAATAACATAAATAAATATAATTTCTGTTGATCAGAAATTTGGTCAGGAATCCGAATTGGGAAAATGGCAATGACTTACCTTTTGCTGTTGCGTTTGCGCGGGTTCAGTGGCGAGAAGTTGCTTCAAGGCCGCGTGCCCGTGACCATTCGTCGTGGAAGTTGCACCGGGCGTGCTTGGTGTGCTGGGATTGCTTCCAGGAGTGTTAGGCGTGTGAGGCCCGGTCGTGGGACTGCTGGGACTGATGCTCTCGTTGATTTTGCTACCGGCATGATGATTCTCTGTGTGCCTCCTCAGGCTCCTCGCGTCGCAGTAAGACTTGCCGCACCCCTCGGCCTTGCACTCGTACGGCTTTTTATTTCGATGCGTCAGCATGTGTCCGTTCCTGCAATCAGAAAAATCGGTTTTTTAGTTTCAAAATAATAGATCGGTCATACATTTTCTAAACGGATACAAGAACGGATATTCGCTGCTTCTATTTTTAATTATCTCGTAAAGAAAAGAATATATTGAGAAATTAAAAACTAGAATCTTTTTTATTTTTTATTTCTTTTTTTCAAAATTTATATAGAGTTTTTCAAAATTTATAATAGAGTCAAGAACGATTGAAACTTACGATAAAAATAATGTAACGTAGACATGTACTATGTACTTGTTCAGAATTTCATAATTTTGTTCAGCAATTTAACTTTTTGAGAGACTCATCTCCGATTCGAGAATCATCATGCTGGCATTTTAGTCGGAATATAAATCGACTGTGACATTTCAGTCAGGAAATATCACCGAGACTGGAATAGCCCCCACGCGCTCATATTCGAATTCCTCTCGCATCCAGCATTAATCATAAGAACGTCTCGGGCGACACGCTATATAGCACTCGCGAATGCTCGATGGGCACGGAAATCTGATTGTACACCTGCTCTTTAGTGCCCAACCGAAATTATGTCGGTCCGATTATGCCGCTTATCTATATCGGCGATCTACCCCGACACGGAAATCCCATATACCGCCGGGCACGATTCCTCCCCTGCCTTATCTAGGAGGAACATCTAAACTCATCCCCAGTGTGTCACCCTTACACCCCGCCAATGCGCCTAAAGACTTATCCACTCCATTTGCCCGATATTCATGCCTGACATCGATGGAGCAAAACGCGCGCTTAACGCTCTCGCGCACGAAGTTCTCGAAAGATTTTTTACTCCTCTATCACGGGACGTTCTGGAAAATGAGACCTGGCCATTCTCTCCACGTCGAAGAGCGCTAAGAAAAGGCGTGGAAATCCGAGGGATGTGTCCGGCATGCAACAAGTTGCGCGATTTCTGACACGATGCCAGATTCCTCGATCGCATTCACGATAAAATCCATGATTCCTATTGATTGCGATCGATTTCATTTGATGGTTGCAAGATTGTCGATCGTATCGATAAGCAGAATAACGACGTGCGGAGTAATTCGACTGAAATACGCAATTATTTAGTTGTAATTCTGTAAAGCGGTCTGTCTATCTCTCTAAATATACATATTCGAAATGTAATGCAAAAAACAAAAAAATTCTAAAATGTATACATTTATTTATTACAGATTAAAACTGCATTCTATGCAGTCACATTGCTATTTCCATCGTTAAATTCCAATCCAAAAATTGCAAATTAAAAATGATAACCTGTAATTCTATCTTATTATTATAATTGATAACGTTGGACACATTAAATTTCTTCGCTGTTCTCGATCGGAGCCGCCTCTCTTGTTTCCTGAAAGTTTAACGAGATCCCAAGCGTGGACATCCTTCGTCGGAATCTCCCGCAGTGGTTCGCAAGAAGAAGTCGTACGGATACGGCGGGCACGATGGAAGGGATATCGTTTCCAGAGTAAATTCTCTGGGAGACGCGAGGCCACTCCTATCCGGCGAAGTTTTATAGTCTATCGATATACGAACGGATTCCCTTAAATTCCGCCGGTAAAGTTGGGACTGTGGGAAGGGTTTAATTTGTAAAAGCTAATTTGTCGAACTTTTAAGGTGACCCATTCCGAGTTCCCGGCATTTTCCCTTCCCGCGGATAATCAGGGACACCTGGGACGTGTCGACCGCACGTGTGTATCATTCTTCCTTTTCGTTTTCGAAGAGAGAGAGAGAGAGAGAGAGAGAGAGAGAGAGAGAGAGAACAAAAGAAAGAGAAAGAAATAAATGTAGACGTCCAATCTTTAGGTTTTATCTGAACGGTCGCTGATCAACCGACGAGTTTTATTAGAACAGTTATTTAATCAGTGCCGCAGAGAGAAACTCGTATTTTGAACACATCAAAGATATTAAACGAATAAACTGGAATCGATTCAACGATATTCAATTTACAAAAATAGAGATAATTTAATTATTCGGAGAATCGGCCTAGATAACAATTAAATGATAATAATACAATTATAATAATGCATCGCTTCGATTTGTGTGTAATTTCAAAGTTATTGTTTCGCTATCATATTTTTATTTAATTAAGGATTACGTATACTCGTTCTAATAATAATATAAAATAATAATATAAAATTATAAAAATAATTAAGAATAAACTACCGTTTAAAAATACGAAATATTAAGTAGTATGTACACAAAATATGTATGCAAGATAAGTCAGAATCATAGTGAAATTCATATGTCATTTACGAATTCACTGTCTTCAAAGTTGATGATATGACAATAAAAAAATTGTTATTAATTGTTATGAACCTGCGCTCAAGCGACAACGAAAGTAAATTCATAAAATTGTAATTAAAGCTCACAAAAGATCGGTCCAATGAACACACGCAGAATTTTGCCTAGAAAAACGATAATTAAATCAGCACTAATTATCAACTGTCGATTCCGTCTAAACCCCGATAGCCCAACAAGACTATTAACAAAAAAAATCTACTTACTTTTTTACACTTTTTTTCTCGTTTCATTACTCAAGATAAAAATGGATTATTTTTAATGCTCAATTATTAAATCTCTCAATTAATGTTAACGTAACGCGCACTGTCTATAAACTACAATATATAATTTTTATAAACTACAATATATTACTTGTTATAAAGTACACAATATATTTCTAGTTTAGAGGCTTTTACGATTACTGACAAGGAAATGTATTTGTTTTATTTTGTCCTTTTTCCGTAGAAGTTAGTATTGGCAACCCCTTGATATGACAAGGGTCACAAGGAAGCAATTATCGAAATATCGAACGCATTCTGAAAAATAAAGCTCTCGACGGTGCTACAAGCAAAGGGAAGGACTTTGTTTCTCGAAGGGCCAGCTTTCCTTCCGCGTTGCTCGCGTTGTCGCTCCTCTCTTTAGCTCCGATGTCCTCTCAAATCTCTTTCGGGCAGGAAGGAAGAAGCGGCCGATATATACTTCCGTTCGAAGAAAAGCTCTCGAAGAAAATTCCTATCGAGGTGTAAGCGCTTCCGTTCCTTATTTCGCGCGGCGGCGCTCCGACTCAGCAAAGGGACTACGTGGATTTACTTCGATAACAGAGATACACCGAGAAACGTACAATAGTGCCTTGTTCGATACTGAAGAAATCGACGAAGCTATCGTTCTGGAAGTCCGTTAGTTTTTTCGGGGAACTCTATATAGAAGACAATATAGCGACAAAGCGCTTATATTCTTTGTCTTCTGATTAAGTCCGAGGCTCTACTTCCTCGACGTTCACAAATGTCTCATTATCACTTTATATTATTGCTTCATGTTAAATATATTAAATTCTCCATGATAATTCGATATTATAATACACAATTTTTTATCGTAATTTTAAAAACTTGAATATATATTTACATAAATATATTTGTCATTTATTACATATTAGAATATAATATATTTTAGAAAAAGTTACATTACAAAAGTAATCAAAATTTATTTTTTTTTTAAATAATTTAAAATCTATGAAGCTAAAATTTTCAGGCTAACAAATACGTTTAATGACATGTGAATCAATAAAGATTTTAAAAAGTAACGAAGTGATCATATCTAGTCTATCATATCATATCATAGTCATAGATCATATCATAGTCTAAGAGTCTATCGATTTTGATGAACGAATTATTTATGTTCATTATTTTTCATATCTTTATTGTTTTCAATTTTAATCAGTAAAATTAGAAATTGTCATATCACAAATTTTAACTAAAAATGAATAAATATTATCTACGACGCACCAAATACAAATTACTCGATTTTTTGTACTAATAATATTTGTCAATGTGCATATGCATTACCTTTAAGATTTAGAAAAATTGTGGTAACGGTTATTCGACAAGAGATCTACAATGGAGGACCTATCTGAACAAAGAAAGTGAGAGGCGATGGAAACTGTAGTTGCACAGGTCTGCCAATTCTTAGGAAGAGAATGAAGCACGGCGAGACTTCGTACCGACTTTTTCCCGTTCCCAATTAAGTTTGAAAGTCCATTCAAACGATGAATGGAGCTGAAAGATCTCTTCTTTCTTCTCCGTAAAATCTCCGCCCGCGGCACTATTATTGCTCAGGCTGCCTATTATTGTTCCTTCTTTCGT